GCCATTAAGGCGGCTTAAAATAGCCCCCCCAGGCCCAACCTACATAACAGCTACTAGTTGGCATACTAATTCTAACCCTAAAAGTACTAAGTTATAACTAGTTTAAATATAAACTTTAAAATTAATTAAAATACTATCTACAAAATTTATAAAGTAGTTATTTAAAATAGCAAATATTATAAAAATAAAAATAAATAGTATAATAATATTCTAGCTATAGTTTAAGTAAGACCTTTATTACTTAAAATGTAAACTTATAGTACTTAATAATCTATATTTTAATTATATACCTAATTCCCCAGCCAGGCAGCCTAACTTAAAGTTAAATTATATTTTTAATAATAAACTATATATTACTAAAAAACCTTTATAATTATAAATAGAAAATAATATCTAGGCCCCGCCCTTATTAAAATTTAAGGCAAAATATAAAATTAAAAAAATTATAAAGCATAAAAGGCATAAAAAAGGCTAGCAAATTTATATAAAATAGGCGCAATTTAAAAAACTAACCTAAAAACTATAAATAAATTTTATTAAAATGGATATACTAAAGGCCTTTAATATATAGTATGGGCTACTCTAACTTATTGCTCTAGAGGGACTTAAGGACATAAACTTATTATTTAGGCCAGGCTCTAGGGCCGCTTTATATTATCTATTATTATCTACATTTAGTAAATATTTTAGGTAATGATATTAACCATTTTATCCTATAGATGTTTAAATTTCACTATGTTATATATTATTAGTCGGCTGAAATTAGAATTATTACTTATTTCTACAGGATTTATAGCCCTTATTAATTAAAGATGTGCGGCTTTAAGCTGGTCTCGAATAGTTTTATTATAAGGCTTTCACGGTTTCTTAGTGCTATTTTATTTTAAATTTTATCATTATAGGGTATTCGTTTTTTAAATATTGGATCTTTGAGCGTTTAAGACTAGCTTAACGTAAAGAATAAAATGGCCAAGCATGTTGCTAATTTATATTTTATTTTAAGTATGCTATGGCTATAGTTATAAATATCTGGTGCTTAGTAAACTATAGATTGGACCTGATTAACTGTAGTAGTTTTAGATACCTACTTAGTAGGTAATTACCCAATCTAAGTTGTGAAAGATATTAAAAAAAGTAATAAGTTGCTGCCATTGTGCAGCACAGCGCCGTCGTTTTGGCTTGCATCCCACCACGGAGCAAGCAGTACGTACCTTTTTCTGCCGTACTTTTTCTGCCGTCAGTACGTACCTCTTTCTGCCAGTCAATACGTACCTTTTTCTGCCGTCAGTACGTACCTTTTTCTGCCGTCAGTACGTACCTTTTCCTGCCGTCAGCAAGCAACACCGGTCGACGCTCAGAGGCCACTAATCATCCGTCATGTATACCCAATGCCAACGACCGGACCATCAACATCGGAGTGGTGACCACAATAGCCCAGCTATGCCCCACCATACTCTCGGGAATAGAATATGGTAACGATGAATCCCAGACATCAGATCAGATAAGTTCCTTAAGTTGTGCCAGTGCCACATTAAAGGCTACTTATTTTTCTAGATTCTCTCGTCAGGCTGCCAGTCACGACATTGAGCAGGCCACGGCGATGTCGGCTGGCGCGCCACAGCTCAGACCCGGCACCAAACAGAAGGCTGACGATGACGGCCCCGACGTCCCTGGCTACGCGGCACCGCACTTGAGCAGGTGCAGGCTCCGCCTCCCAAGGTGCGACGGCTAGACGCCGAGGGCGCTGCGACATATCTACACTCTCCAACAGGAAAACCGACTTCAGAGAGGCCCCAGCAGGCGTCTCAACCCAGATCCTTGGCCTTCGACGGTTCGATGGCAGTCGGATTCTTGCGGTCGTATGCGCTTCTCGTACTGAGTCCACTGGATTTTTCTTTGGCGAAAGAAGCTCACCTGATCCCTTATGATGTTGAAGCGGGGTTTTGAGACACTTCAGACGGTGTGGTCCGGATCAATATTTGGCCACTCTTGTTGCTTTTCCTTTCTCTCCGAATCCTGTACTGCAACATTCAGCTTCTCAAATATTTACAAACCGACGCTGGCGGAGGAAACAGAAATTGCGATCACTCGAATGCGCGTGGCGCATTATAACAGTAGGTACCAACTAATTTAATAACTAATAGTTACTAAGACTTGGCCATACTTCTAGCATGGTATTTCTCGGACGAGGGGATTGGAAAACCACCAGAGAAAAACGTCAACTTTATTGGCTAGAGATTACACAGTTCTGGATGTTGCATTTCTCAGTTTCATTTGTGACCCAGTCGGAATCTGTAATCGCCTTCTCTGCTTCCTCTGTTATAGCATCAGCTTCGTGATTGCCACAATTAAAAAAAACGAAGCTGGAATATCGGAATTTAAGACAAACGTAGTTCAACTACGTTTTTGCTGCAAATACATCTATATGGATGATCCCATATGCAGCCTGCAAATCACAGATCATAACGACTGGCGCCAGGTAATCTTCAGCAGTGGAACAAGGCCGGCACAGAAGCTCTATAGATGTTAGAATGACTAATCAGTAAAAATTGTCCACATACATACAAGTACAATATACGCTCTGCGGGGGATCCGCGTAATACGACACATCCAGTTTACAGTTTTCTGTCATTACGCCTAATATCCTAATATATATTTCATTAATCACGGCAAACGCAGAAGGTGCCACGCTGCCTTCCCCGGCTTCTTCCGCAACACTCATACCACAAGGAAGACGGTACGTACGAAATTTACCATCCTTCACCCGGCCTCACCATCGCTATTGAGCAGGACGCATAATTTCTACCTAGTGGTTACAATTATAAGTCACTTGGAAGATGCGGGAGGCCTCCATTATAAGGTTCCAGCCCAGCTCACGCCAGACGTATTTAAGAAGACGGGCCCGAAGTCATCATAATGACTCAACATCAGGTCCAAATGACTAATTTTTTGACTGCTTCACTCCACAATATAATTACCTGCGCAAATTTATTTAGTAGAAGCCTCTACAATGATTACCAGATATTCGGTGCGAATTTGGCTTGCAATCGTTCTACTCAGCCTGCTTTCGCTAGCAACCGCCATTTTCAACTCGGTGGATACACTCCTCGCTGGCATCTTGCGAGATCAATTCAGAGGCACCGGAGCAACTGCCGGTTACTGGAGTGACAAAGTCAAGGTCATGGCACTCCAGAGTCTCGTTTTACAGTGCATTTATCTTGGCCGTCGCTGCCACCCTGTTTGCATGGGTCGGCCTTATTACAGCAATCTAACCTGGATAGGGAAATACTCGGTTTTCTAGACAATTCATGGCATCATATTGGTTGCCATTGGAGGATATGCAGTTTTACGAAAGTTTAGAATAGACCCTGTCGGCGATAATTCGCCAGACAAGATTATCCAAAAACCTGGAGCAGGCCATATAGCGAAAATTCACAAAGGACGTTTGCTCGAAATCCTCGATTTGTCGTTATTCTCGAGCGGACTTTGCTGGTGAGATTCCGAGACGATTATTCGACGATTTCGGCTAGCAGCTAGATTGGCTGCAAGAATGGACTGGTGATACTACCCGTTTTCACAGTCTAATGTCAGATGACCTCACGATTTTACACTGGCCGTATCTTATCGTAATCTTATCGGCTGTGGCGAAGTATTGTGGCTATTCTAAGCACAGTTGGCTCAGGCAATGAAGAAGATAGGAAAATCATATCATTAATACCGTTCTCTGAGATGACCTTGTTTTCGGACATCGCATATCAAGAGCGGAATGGCCTAGTAAGGAGCTCCCTCGGAAAACCATCTGAGTATCAAGAAGCAGTCCCGCACAATGCATACATGAGCACTTATGGTGAAATCTTGCAGGGAGGCCCTGTCCTGCAATCATCCAAACGTCGGAATTTCACACCACAATTGGTATAATGATGTTCAGGAATTTGGACCTGGGTCAATCCACCGGAAGTGCACCCGATACCTAGGCACATGTCATCTCGGGAGAGGTGGCTGGTTTGAAAGCGCGTACAGGTCACGATGATCTGATTCTGGTGCCAAATCTCTCTGCTTGGATTTATGGCAAGTCACCAGAACCAGGTGACTTAGCAATCCCCTCAGTCAGCAGCCATTCGTCGTGTGTATCTACGCCGCGAGCTTGGATAGATCGGTCCAGAGGAATGGACCAGAGCATCTCATTCACTCATCTCACATCTTTTTCTGTCGACTCGTCACCCGGATGCCATTGGAAAAAAACGCCCGTTCGTCCCTGACCTTCGGTTCGCACAGTCTCCTCCCACACCTTGATGCCAAGGAAATCGCATCATAGGTCTTGCCCCAAAATAGCCATGGCCTTTTGCCAGTGAACTCAGAGTGGTGTCAGCCGCCCGGTTTCCCTGCCGTTGGCTCAGGTATTCTCCGTCTCGCAAGCCATCCTGGCGCAGTCCCCCGCCATTCCTTTCATTCTACCAAGGTCATCCAAATATATTGCTTGTCTCTTGTGTTCTCAGGGGCACATTGGTGTACCCAGACACACTTCCCAGGCGGATACAGCAGTCACGGTGATCGTATTGAACATAGCGCCTGCATGAAGGCTGCAGGATTAATGCATGAGAAGCGCCGCGGCTTATTCCATTTGGGTTGTCTCGAAGACGCAAGCCAGCTGTCCGGACCCTCCGGTGGCAACTGTGCAGGATCTGACGATATGGGGAACACTTCGTAGCGCCCGGTTCCATAATGGATCTCTTCGTGCTTGCTTGTTGATCCTACCACAGGCCCTGCTCTTTCAGCTGCCTTGAGGAGTGCAGACCCCGGTGACCTTCATGCCGCAGCCAGCCGACAGTCCCAGCCTTGCTCTCATTGGCAGTCAAGGCAGCATTAAACTTGTGCAGCGACCAGGAACAGGCTGCAGGTGAGTGTGCGGGGTCGAGAGGCTGAGACGAAAAGGCAAGATTCCAAGTACGACCACTGGCAGGCGTATTTTACGGCCGCGATCAGCCGCTAAAGCGGTCTCGCGGAGCGGGAGCGCCGGCGTCATCTCATATGATAGGTCCATGCTTAGCAGCGCGGCAGATGCCGGTGGCCCCCCGAGACACACTGCATATTAGCGCTGGACAGACCAAGCCCAAGCAAGGCCCACATCAATCAGCCACCAACATTCTTCTCCCTCTTCTACAATACTCATCCCGCCGCCAACGCGCCGGATCTCTACGCTCTCTGCCCAACATGATCTCTTGACCTCTCATCTTTTTTCGCTTCAGACGGGCAACACCAAGCGTGTCAACTACATTACACCTCGCAGCTGTGTCCGAGGACGCTCGTCGTCTGTAGAAATATAAATCCTCGCGCAGACCTCACTCCGATATTTTGCCTGCAAGCATCACCACTTCCCCAGTCATAAATAAACACCAGACCCGAAAGAAAATGTCGCAGTGGAGTTCTATGTACTTGAAATCTAGTGTAAGCCGACAAAGATGTTGTTTGACAGACCGTCGTCCCCTAGTGTTGACATGAAAACCGCGATTGCAGATGATCAAATCAGCTTGTGAAGTGGCTGTGGATTCCTGCCATTTCAACTCAGCAGAGCCGGATGGAACTCCCAAAAAGACATTCGACTGTGGCAAGACCGACTGTCCTCACTCTGTCAAATATGCGCCGAAGAAGTGAGCCTAAGCGGGAGGCCGGAGTTGATACTTTTCTTAATCAAGTAGGACCAAGGTGAATATATTGCGAATCAGTAGGGAAATCGGAGCTTTGATGAGATTTTTATTTCTTGTAGGGTAGGCGACTGGCATGGGTCTCTAGGTAGTCGGGGAAACGGCCCATGCGATACTTACCCCATTAGGATTAACCTTGAATTCAAGAGGGCGCACAAGTGTATTATGTAACGACAAATTTTATTTGATTATCATTGAGCTATCCCACCCCGCGTCATAAATATCACTTTCACAAATACAATTTCTTGCCATCATGGAAATCGTTTCGTACCATGAAGCGTTCAAACAGATTGACAATGAGCTCCATTACCAATGTGTTAAGGGTGTTGTCCGAATCGATGGTCTGCTTTACCTCGCGGAATGGCATGATCGATTGCAATTACCTACGGAGACTTCTGAACTGCGCAGCATTCAAAAGATATACACTGAAGATCGTGGACCACTGATCAAGCCTGCCTGGACGGTTACAACTCCAGAGCAACATCATTACGTCAAAACACCGAGTATCCATTCATTCTACGACGTCTCCGATCTCGAAGGTCTAATCACCCGGGAAATCGAGACCTGTGAGCTGCTGAAGCTCCATCCTCACCCAAACATAAGCCCCTACTATGGGTGCACCGAACTTCGAGGCCGTGTATCTGGCTTGTGCTTCAAAAAGCATCGGCAAACCCTACTGGAGAACCTCAACCCTCAGGGCCTGAATAAGGCAATGTTCCTAGACAGTGAGCATCGCCGCTTATCCGTCGATCACTCACTCAAGGAGGCTACCTACAAACTTCGAGAGGCTATCGAACATCTACATTCCCTTGGAATCATCCACAACGATATTAATCCGGCCAACATTATGTTCGACGAGGACGGTGCACTTGTCCTCATAGATTTCGACAGCTGTCAGCGCCGTGGTGAGCCTCTAGGTAACACGAAAAGAACCTACGGCTGGCACGACCCAAAGGTGACGGTTGCAACGGAGCAGAATGACCTCAATGCCTTCACTGAGTTACAAACCTGGCTTTTTGGCACTTCAGCAGGTTCTTATCTCTTTCCATAGATCCCGCTCATGTCATATGGTGAAAACCAAAATGGCCTCTCAACGACAGAGTACCACAGTGTACCTTGACACCTCCGATTCAAGGGGTGTAAGTGCTGTGGTCAATATGGTCCCATAGCAATATCATATGGTTGTTCGAACTTATTATACGCATTTTTATGAGATGAATGGCTCTTTAGAACTGGTTGCGTTTGTCTTCGTGTTTCTTCTAGTCCAGAAGCAGCGGGACTGCAGTCACGCGAAGCGGCCTATTTGACTATCTTCAGATAATACACCACTTTACCAGTTTATAGTCGCTGCTTCCTGCAGTTCAGGGTACTTTTAGGAAATTTTAAGCTCAATAAGACGTTTGACCTTGTGGATTGCACAGGGACGGCAAATCTAAGGTTGCATATCTCAGAGTACTGATTGAGAAGGTGGTGCATCGCGCTGCAGGCAAGTTCAAAACATCTCCAAAGACGTCCCTCATTCCCTGCTTCAACCAAGATTCCGAGAGTACCTGAATCTATTGAGGATGTAAATGTGCACTATCAACGAAATGAATTTAAACCCACTTAACCCCGCAAGGTGGAAACGTCGAATGAACCGCAACCTGAAAAGGGAGGTCCACCCTTAATATTTGATGAGACCAACTTTGATATTGATGTTTTTCAGTTAGCAGATAAAGGTAAATGGATGATTTAAGGAAACCTTCAGTTGCAGGATGCTTTTAAGAATTTCGGCGTTAGTGGGAGGCCAAACTACGATTGTGATCGAAACCATCGAGTCATGCAATACTCATTTAAAGCAGAAGCAGGCAAAATCTACTTTCCAGGTGGCTTTCCTAAGTGTCGGGCTTTCCCTAATCGAGGCTTCCGGCATCGCTCCTTGACCATGAACAGGCCCTACCGGTAGTAGCGAGGCAGAATCAGCCTGCGATCCCAGATCCTCTAATCCATGCGAGACGCCGGTAGAGGGTGATGGGACGTTGTGTACAGTCTAATGGCGACATCTTGGACCCGAACTAGACACTCAAGATAGCCTTTACGCGCCGCAAACGGCTTCGACATGGCAGCTACTAAATCAGGTGGCCTTCCTGCGGCTACGCAGTAATTATAACTCCTTGAAAGCGTGCAGAATAGCATATGCCACATGCATGCATGGGGGGATCCCGAGTACTGCCTAGTTGTCAACGCATTAGCTTATAGTTTATAAATCCCTAGAATAAAAATTCCATTATAATATATATCTCCCTTAAGCTAGAAATAAAAAAACTACTAGTATTACCACTATATTGCTCCATAATACTATAACTACTTGCTAAAATTTTATACTATTATAATTAAATATTAGACTTTATAGTTAAAAAGCTATATATAACTTAATTATTCCTTCTCTAAAAAAGGCGTATAACTATTTAAAAAATAAGTAAAAGCTATAAGTTTTTAGCCAAATTCTTTTTCTTTTTAATAGGCGCGGGCTTTAAAAATAATATATTTAAAGTTGCCATTAAGCCCAATACGCCCAACTAGTTGTCCTTATTTGCTAATAGCAAGTTAAAATTAGCCTTTAATAATATTAAATAACTTTTAAGGTCCTAAAATAAGCTAATTAACTTAAAAAGTACTTAAACATTAAGGTTTATTTTAAAGGGTAATTAATTAATAATAGCACAAATTCTCTTAAAATAAGCTAGCATTTAAGTATTATAAACATTTATAATAAACTAATTTATAATTTACTTATCCTTTTTATTAAATATTATAAAATTAAATTTATAAATTAGGTAGTAATAATATTTTATATTTTTTCCATTAATTATTAAATAATATTTATAAATTTTTATAATATAATAGTTATGCGAAACAAAAAAAAAAAAAATTTATTAATAAATCTTATTTTCCCACTTTATAATATAAAAAAGCTTAATAATACCTTATATTACAAAAAACATATTATAAGCGTTTTAGTAATTTGCAACATCTAGTACTATAGCACCGCACTTTATCTTATAGGCAAAAAAGGGAAAGTATATATAGTATATAAATATAAAAAAAAATAAATTACCAGCAATAAAGTTGCTAATAAATGGCAATAGCTTAATAAGCTGGTTATTAGTAAATACCTCTTGCCAAAACCTAATAAAGTAGTTTGGCTATAAATAAATTCCAATTAGGGGGACCAAATTATTCCATTTTTTATTAATACTTTTTATTAAAATTTTAAGCTCCTTATTATAAAGTAATAAAGTCTTTACTAAAAGAATAAAAAGCCTAAAAATATTTTAAATAATTCTAGCTTTATTTTTACTATAAAAGTTCTTATAAGCTTTCTTAAAAATATTACTATTAAAAATAATTTTCTAAAAAAGGTTTTAATTACCCTTAAATATATTTTAATAAAAATATTTATTTTTTTTTTTAACCCTCTTCTTTAATATTTTTATAAATATTCCTTTTATTACTAGCAAGGTTTTATAGTACGTGTTTTAATATAGGGCACTTTTCTTTTTATATAGCTTTTAATTACTAGGCATTATAAAGATTATAAAGTTTAAATGCTTATATTAAAGTAATAATAAAAAGCGCTTTTATATAAATATATATTTTATATTAAACTTAAAATATTTATATAACTAAAATTCTTTTATTGCCTAATAGCTAATTAAACTAGTATATTTATTATTAGCAAGCTTTATAAATATTTCTTTAATAAATGGCGTTAATTAAACTCGCTTTAAAGGCGTAAAATTATATATATTTTTAACAGCTTATTTTTAGCCCTTATATTAAATAAAAGGTGCTATTAACCACTTTAAACTTTAATATTTATATTTTAAAGCAACTTAATTTATTTATTATTAACTAAGGCCTATTAGCGCTTTATAAAGCATACCTTAATTATTTATATTATGCCCCCTTTTAATAACTTATTAGGCTTAAATTTAGGCCATAATAATAAAATATAAAAATAAAGGAAAAAAGATAAGTAAATTTATATTATAATTAAGCATTAAAAGAAAAGGGTTAAGCTTAATATAAAATTCCGCGCAATATAATATAATTTATAATAACCAACCATTACGCGTATACCGCCATATAAAAATAATTTATTACCTATTTTAAAAAGCTAAAAATGGGGAAATTAAAAAAAATAAAATAGTAAATAAGCATTAAAGCTAAAACTTTATTATATAATAATAATCCTAGTAGGCTTTAAATAGGGTTTAAGTACATTTATAAGTTAAGCTTTAGCATAATTTTATATTTATTTCTTTTAAGCCAATTATCTTTTAGCGCTATAACCTTGCCAATTATAACCATAACCTTAAACTATTATATATAATAGATGCTATAAACGCGCTTAATAGTACATGCTATATATTATATTGTTAGTAGCTGCTGCTATGGAAACTCTACTATAAACCCTTATTATTACAAAGTAAAGGTAGAGAGCCAGTTTATTCTTTACTATAAGTGGCCCTTTTCATGATTTACAGCCAAGGTGTAATATTGAGATAAATTGCTTAGTTGGGTTTCTACTTAGCCTGCTTTATTAGATGCCTGCTTTTATATATTGTAGTTATAATTTAGAACATTGTAAGTGCAAGGAAAAATAAATAGCGTTTTAAAGATTTGGTATATGCTTAATTCTGCGATTATTAATAAAGCTGCGCAATTTTTAGTTTAATTAATAGATATTGATTTTAAACTTATAATTCACTGCTAATTCTATATACTAAACACATAAATGGTAGGGAGAGAGGCACGCTGCGTTGAGCTTTACTCGTTTTTCTCTAGCCAGGGCGTCAAAGGTCGCAGCCTGATACAACGTTTTAGTGCGCATAACCTGCTTTGTAGTAGGTCGTTAGGTGTGTTACATTTGAGGCGCAGTAATGGACGCGTGGTGGTACTAGCTGAGCCGGAGGAGTGACCAGTCCTTGTCGTCTTTGTTATCGTTACGGCCGCGTAGTGGCCCATGCAATATAGATCGCGGCGTACATGTCGCTGCCTCTTTTGTGGTCATGCCCTTCCAGACAGATAGATTACGTCCAAGTACCATGTGGAACCCAACCGCGGATCCAGGTCCTCATCTCAAAGGGTGAAACTCAGAGACCACAACTGCTCAGTCAAGGCGCAGGGCTTATAATCGTGCTGCGTAAGTGCTAAAACAACCGAGTAACATGCAGAAGTTTATTTGTGAAAAGGGAGAGGATAACACTCTACAGCCGACGCCGTCTTGGTTCTCTGCATATGAATATGCTGATGCCTTGTCCACTGTTATAGTCAGCGAGCCTTCAGGAAGCGGAAAACGTAACATATCGAAGACTGTAAGGCAAAGATTGCCTCCCTAGAAGCCGCACAGCACGAAACTATGTCTGAGAACGAGATGCTGAAACGCGAGCTCCATCGTATGAGCCTCGAGAACAATATGTTCAAGGCAGACTATCTGTTTAGCCATAGTAGGCCGCTGGTAATCATAGGGCCCCTACAGTACGGTTCCCCTAACTTCTGTAGAAATTTCATATCCCAAAATCAGGCATCCTTCGACAGGCCATCATTATTGCCCCCCTTCTCCACGAACACGGTCAAGAACTTGGGAGCTCTCTACGCGAGCCAGTGCAAGCTTCCAGAAGCTGAGGCAATGTATAAGAGAGCACTAAAAGGGAGAGAAGGCCCTTGGACAGGATCACACATCACCCTTTGACACAGTTAACAACTTGGAAGCTCCCTACGCAAACCACGGCGAGCTTTCAGAAGCTGAGGTGATGTACAAGCGAGCGCTAGAACGGAGGGGAAAGGCTCTTGGACTAACTCATATTCAAACGTATACCGTTACATGCAACTAATAACTTTTGTATTACAGCCAAGGTATGTTATTCAACTATGGTTTTGTGTACAAATGCCTGCGTGGAGGTGTACCAACTCTCGGGCTTCTCCTCCAGCTCCTGCTTGTGGTCCCTGTGTCGGTTTCTTCGAGCTAACTACACGGGACCCTTATGGATTACTGCCTTATGAATCTTCTGAAGATGTCTAGTCAAATGATCCTTTCTGCTGAAGGTCTTGTTGACTCGGGTGCAGCTCGGATATGCACAACGGATGCGAGATACCGAAACACCCATCTCAAGTGCATGCGTCTTGTGATGGACCTTGTAGTGTCTAGTGAGGTCCCTTTTCCAAGCAAAACCTCGTCCGCACTTAACACAAATTTCCGGCTTCTTGAATTTTCTCATTTCTCTACTATAGTGCTTGATCAGTGTGAGTTCTTGATGAGATATGGAAGAGACGCACTTCAAATCACAAGAACGGGACCTTTTTGTACCGCGGGGGTCGGCCCGGGGAGATCTTGGGTGCTTAGTGCTCGATGCGGGACCAAAACCATCAATTGGTGGTGTTGTGGGCGAGTGCGGAAAGCCTTGAAGCTGACTAGGTCCGTCAACTTCGGTTGGCAAGTTCGCACAGGAAGAAACAGACGGAAATTGGGGCAGGGCTCCGGCACCACTGATATTCCCCGGGAGTGGCGTACTACACGAATGGGCCGCCGAATCAGGTTCTGTATCGGTCTCTTCATCGAGCATCTGTTCTGTAATGCTCGCGCCGCCAGTATTTGCGTTGGTATAGGCCTCCTCATTGTCCTTCAATTTATTCAAGACAAGGACATGTGGCGACACAGTCGACAGTAGGAGATCGCTTTCGCTAGCAGCCCGCTCGCGGTAAGGAAGGGTACCCTCGTGGACGTGGTTAGATTCGAAGGGACCCGCGACTTGGAAAGAACCTAGAGACGGTCCTGTTGGAGGTGAGCCTCTGGCAGGCCCATTTTGAGCATTCTTAATCTTCTCATGCGCGTCGTCGGGACTGTTATTTACAGTCCAGGGCTCGGTTAAATCTGTGGTTCCGTCAGTGCAGTTGGGGCCAATGTAACGGATGTATAAGAAACAACTTTCCTTTCTCGCGCTGTCGGTAAAGCGGCTCCACGATTGGATCACGTCGTCATCATCACCCCCGATCTAAAACAAATAGCAGAGGTGCAGTGCGGCGCTCTGAGGAAGGGAGGGGTAGGGCGGGTGATGACGGCGACGTAATCCAATCGACGCCGCACGACAGCGCGAGATGTGGATTAGCGAGTACCATCCCCGGCCCTTCCTCGGCACCATTTGCTTTCGCATAGCATGTCTTACCAAACAAATCTACTGCCCACAGCTCATTAGAGAAGTATTCCTGCTCCCACTCTGTCATTTTTGTATGAGCAGGGTTCAGGATGTTGATTGCCTGAGAGATAATTGACTATGAAAATGATGAGGATCAGCCGTTTTAAGTTGCAATGTGGAGTGTGGGGCGAAACATTTTGGATCGAGTGGACCCGTAGTATGCATAGCGGTAAGCATGTGATACCATTTGATGACGGACACGCTCCATCGAAAATCTGCTATCAGTTTTAGGACCCACTGATCTGCGATCCCGCATTTGGTGCCCAAGCTCCGGAGACGTGGGCAGCTGGCAAGGTGCCTCCAAAGACTGTTGCCGAGAAGCCAAGTTACCGAAGTAGCTCTTTGCTGGGCCTTTCTACTCCAACCCCGATCGCCACAACTTCAAGTGCCGTAGCCGCAAACAACGACGACAAAGTCGCGCACAACAGTAGAATTGCGTTTGATCGTCCACAGACGACGGAAACGAAGGAAACGACCAGCAATGACCTCTCCGATCCTCCCCAACCGAAGTCTTCCTCCTCGCAGCAGTCTGTGACGATTCCAGCACAGCCACAGCAGCAAAAACAGCCAGACCCCTGGTCGCGCAACCGCGGCGCTGCCAAGCGGTGCCGGGCCAAGAGCAAGGTGGCCATGGCGGAGCTCGAGGCGGCGGAGCGGACCATGGGCGCCGAGCACCAGGCGCTGATACGAACGGCGAAGTCGCTGCGCAAGGAGGTGCTGTCGCTCAAGAACCAGCTGCTCATGCACAGCAACTGCGACGACGACCTCATCCAGCAGTACCTCGCCAACTCGGCGCGCATGGTCGCCAGCGGCGCTGCAAAGGCAGCGCTGGGAATGGCGGCCACGCCCAACGCGACGCAGCTGCCGCCGGCCCCGGCCACGGCGGCAGCTCTCGGGCGATGCCTCTTCAACTCGCCGCCTGGTACGCTACCTGGGCCGGCGTCGACCTCGCCTTACCGGTACGACAGCAGCGCGGGGTCAACGGAAGGGTGAGGGACAATCGCGTTAACTTTTTCACTGGGCAAAAAGAGGCGGAGAAGGGACACCTACAAGTGAAAAAGGGATAAGAAGATGATGACGCACGGCGGATCAGGAAAGGGGAAAGCGTTTACTTCTGGAAATGATTGGGTTTTTGCATGCAACAACAGCGGACCGTACACGAGGCGCCTACGCGACATAGCATCGATCCTCCGACGAGCATTGCATGTGCGGACCGCGATAAACGCTTAACGCGTATCATTTTTCGACGGCACACATACATAAACCTGGCAACACAGACCTGGGGACCTTTGGATTTTGAGGAAGACAATGGGGCGACATAACGGAATCAAGCGAGTCAACCCGGAGTCGACCAGGACGCTGGTGCAACAGCCACCCACGCTCTTATACAACATAACCATGAAGAAGGATACCCAGTGAAAACCACCATCGTCTCGAACAGCTCTACCACTTGGACAGCATTTTGGCGTTGTCCAGTTTATCGATGTCAGACGGGATGACGCTGTCGTATCGGGATACGTTGTCCATCATGATGTCGATTGAATCCATAACCGAGTTGACGATGTTGTCCGCGTTGGACGAGCCGGTCTTGCTCTCGTACTCGCTCTCGATCAGGCAGTTCGGGCAGAAGGCATGTAGGTCCTGAGACCCGTCCGGGTGAACCAGCAGTGAGCTGTGTTGATCCACATATCCTTCCACATGCTTCCTGCAGGTGCAGCATCTCCACCCCGTGTTCCTGGCCTCGCAGCCCCTATCACAGTACCGGTCCCCGATCTTGATCTTGATCACCTCGGTTCCGGGTTTTTCGTTGCCAAGGCAGCACTCGTGCAGGACACGCACGTCGTTGTCGTGCAGGTGCTTACTGCAGTTGCCCAACATGGTGACCCCAACGTGCCCGCAGGCGTTGGTCATGAAGTATCTTGTGCAGCCCGTGGTCATCTTAGTTTCGGGGTCTTTGAGGTAGAAGTCATCCAGGGCGATCGGGTCGTCGTTTTGCTTGCTTTTGCCGCATTCGGTGGTCATCTTGGCGTTCATGTGGCAGTTTATGAATATATTTTGTATGAGGAATGTGATGGACGATGCGGCTTTGTTGTTTAATATACCCTGGATATGGTATACCTCGATCATTAAGTTAGATAGTGATTAAGGGCTCGGGGATTAATGGTGCCCCGGGATTAATAGTGGAGGGTACTCCAGGATGGAGGGTACCCCAGGATGGAAGGTGCTTCAGGACGGAGGGTGCTTCAGTATGGAAGGTACTCTGAGATGTACGACATGTTGTTCATACTGCCTGCTTGTGTAAGTGAGAGAACCGCGAAACATATAACTCACTCCAACCGCCCGCTTTTGTCTATGTCAACTATCGTCTCGACACCCACAAACATACATTCCTCAGTCAAGATGAGTCTTCCTTTGGAAAACCGTGGCAGAACCCCAAGCCCAACCATTTATCCATTGTCCTCAACCATTTCGCGGGATCCAGATGAGGGAAGCAAGATTGGGACTCAGATTGAGAACACTCCGAGTAGGTCATCTATGCCTTGTCGTATTAACTTGTATTTACCTCTCAGAATCACCTATATGGGTGATTACCACGAGCAACCCACGTGGTTCCAGTACCAAAACCTGTGATCTTAACATGAGGGCACAAGGTAAACAGCTTACTTCATTCTTATCAGAACTATAATTAACCTTACTAGATCTTCAATGGACAGCCTATCTATCATGTTTCAAAGGAAGGCGTATAACAGATGAAGCTGATGTTCGTTACCGTCTTGAGACAAAGATTTGGACATTCTCTAAGGAACGACCTACTCGAAACGATACACTCCACCTTCGCATCCCCAGCACATGGAAAGAACAATCTTGCACGATGTCTTTCAAGATAATAAAGATAATGGCAGGCTCGCCTACCAACTGTATACTTCTTAGAGTCTCTTGTGCTTTAACTGCTGCAGAGTTTCTAGAGCATTTAAGAACGAGTGGTCCTGTTAACATAGCTAGGAAAGATAAGAGAGGGGGGGGGGCCAACGGTGGCAGCTCTGGGAGTTCAAGTTGTTCGGACTAGAAAGAAATTTCACATACGCATGTGCCCAAAGTTCAGTGAGCCGCATGCCAGATTACCGAGACAGTGTAAATTCATGGCTGAAGGACATCAGGATAAAAGTAAGACGTACCCCGTACTGGTGAAATAATAATTTCAAAAGCTCGTTGATATGTGAAACTTATGTGAATGCGCATGGGCGGTGGTTGTATTGGTTTGAGTTAGGTCCCGCAACACGGTTGGATCAGAGGTGATGTTAAGTCCGGCTTCAGGATGGAGTGGTTCGTTGGCTGACGGGTTTGTAAAGGCGCTGAGCAAGAGAAGTGTTGGAGGGTACTTTTGTCCAAAGTACACCTTAATGTTTTATGGCCTGCTCTGTACTACTCAACCAATCATCTAAACTGGATGACTTTCAAAAATTAACCGATACTTGTGAACCTCGTAACGTGTTTTGTCCTGGGAGCCCGCACGGGCCTAATCATCAGCATGCTTTAGGCGCACAGCTCTCGGAAACACCTTCCAAATCTTCGTGCATACGACCGTGGATCGAGAATGCATGTGTACTAAACAGGAGAGGAGGCTGGGCAAACAGACAGGGGCAACCATTAGTAGGGAGGTTCAGGATGGGTACCTAGGTAGGCTGCAGCCGTCGGGTGGTTTCACCGCCCGCGACAAACCTGGACGACCTCACCTGCCCAGGGTGTAATGAATGTAGTGGTGTGGAGGAGATACTGTGGACGCAGCCACTGGACAACCACTCGGGGTGCGTTAGCGGTGGTATATTACGTTCGACATATTTATTTTCAGCTTCCCTCAAATGGCCTTGGATCCGCATCGCCTTGATGATGATTTCTTGGCCCCTGAGCGAGACCTGTCGCTCTTGCGTTGACTTGGGATTCGATGGTTTGAACTTTGCGAAATGCTTTTCTAGGTCCTCTACAAAAACTCTCTGCTCAACGAGAATCTGCTGCATGTTGGTGAGTAAGTGCGAGTTTAGGCTCTCAAATGCATCCCTCGGTAACCGATACAACATTCGAATCCGTAGCTCGATCTTGTGGTTGAGAACAGTGTCTCCTGTCTCGGACATGATGCGATCTTAAGCATGCTTCCTTTCCATGACAGGGAACGGATTTGCGAGACATGTCTCAACGCCCTGCGAAAGACGGAGGGGACGGGGATGAGTATACCGGAACTGGATTGTCGTTACTGTATTCCTCGTTCTATGAGGCTTTGACTATGGAGATACTCAAGTTTGAATACAAGCTACCGTTTGAAAGGCATTATGATTACTCTTGTCTCTTACGAAAACTAGCCCGACGATGTCGAGACGTCCATCCTCGCGAAGTCGTAGATGGTCTTTCCGCTCTTGCTCCTCAATGAACTTCGTCTCTTCCCATGCTATTTTCATTAAATCAGCCACGTTTCTACCACATAAGCATCGTGGATACTTACTGAAACGTGGCCCAAAACGCGGGCAGTCGCCAGTGACAAAGCCCTTGCTTGGGAGATTCAGGAGCATTGTGTTGCCCCGAGGATCTGCCGGGGGAATCTGAACGTTGTAGAATAAGCGATACCCACCCTCATTCTTTGGCCGCATCGAATGAGTAAAGAACAAATACTTGAGGACGCGTGTCCCATTGTCGCTGACTCCTGGAACAGGCGAAAGGCTCTCGAACGTGCCCATTCCGTCGACGGCGAATCCGGTATTCAAATCTAACAGTGCAACATCCATCCAGAGAGAGATCTCAGAAAGGAATCCGAAAACAGTCCGGTCCAAGTCCACTTGAATGGCCGTTGTTTGCATCAAACGGCCGACAGTTACGATACGAGGAGGGGCCAATTTTTCTTCTATTCTGGAAAACGGGAGCTGAGTCGTCGGGACCTGGGGCATATCGACCTTTGGGATATCCGCCGGCTCGGGGGGGCGGGAGTTTGTTTCTTCCTGCTCTTGCAGAGAAAACTCACTCAGACCGGTTAGGACTGTTACCTTTTGTATCAGTAGGCGCTTTCTGAAAGGATAGGGCCAATGGCTTACTGTCTTCATCGGATGAGTCCTCAGTTCTTGTTATCGGAGAGGATGGTGCTGCTCTTATGCCGCAGCCCGCACCGGATATCTCGTCATCCTCATCCTCGGAAGCAGAGAAAGTATCATAAGTCGTTGGCGAGAGCTGTGCCAATCTCACCCGACCCGAGCCAGGAGGCGCAGTCAGGGGGAAGTAGGCATCCTCCAACCACGGGGAGTCAGCGTATGTGGGTTGCTCAGTCGCCATGTTCATCGCTTGAGAATTGAAGGAGGAAACTATGTTGACACAGCAGAAGGCAAAATGGAATTGCGCAAGCCTTATGTACCTGGGATAGTCCCCCGATCCCTTGGAGTTATCTCTTGGCTGTTGGTCGGACGGTCACCACCGTCTGAGTACAGCCTGCGGATGCTCTAGGTATTACGCTGCTGCCCCCTCTCCCGTAGATATTGATCTAGCAATATGACACCATTCCTTCGCGGTTGCTCATGTGTACATGCGTTGGTGTTCAATGGGGAAACATTCGTCACAAGCCAAATGAAGGTACTTACCTATTCAGCTTAGCACAGACAACATAAGTCCTTTCCAAAGTACCGTCCCTTCGGAGTACCTTCACATGGACGGGTCAGCGTTAAGAATTCCCTCTCATTTCTTCATGCAGACCCCAACCAGATCCCCCAGACCCCAACGTAAAGCATGGGTAGGTCAGCAGAGAGGCATCGGCATGCATTGGGTCTCTTCTGTCCCCTCCCCTTTACTCCCCGTGCGCCCCGGTGCGCCCCGGTGCCCTGGTGGCCCGGTGTGCCCCGGTGTGCCCCGGTGCGCCCCGGTGCGCCCCGGTGCCCTGGTGGCCCGGTGTGCCCCGGTGCGTCCTGGTGCGCCCCGGTGCCCTGGTGGCCCGGTGTGCCCCGGTGCGCCTGAGGGAGACTTTCGGTAATATTGTAGCATACTTGGATCCAGCAGATTCATAGTAGGGGCACATGTACTTGGGAGGATTGGACCAGCATGTCTGTCACTTCCCACCTTTCAATCGATCCAGTCGCCAGTATATATGATTTCAGACCTGAAAGACATGGTTGCCTCCTTTTCTCCACACTTGTTGCCTACTCTGCTCCTCTTCTTCTGCATTACAGACACTGGATCATACTATCACTGAGCACAGAATGGAGGTGATCGTCACCCGAAAACCTGAAGGACATAAGGAGGCCACTGTAACGTTTTATGCTTCGGATCTTTTGGCAAAAAAAGGTACCAGCCAGAATGATCCAGTATACGTGGAGGTCAAATTCGAACAATTAGAAGACAAAGTGTGGTCGGGTGAAAGGGAGCTGTACCTTGAGGCGACCAAAACACTTGATGGATTATACTTCATCTATCAGTGTTCCTTCCGAATCCCAACTGCTCCTCCACACGTCAAAAGACCTTACCGTTGGTCCATCATTCTGTGGAATAAACCTTCTGGGTCTGAGCGTGTCCTCCTCGCCCAACACAACACGAAGGTGAGTGCCTTACATCGATTACTGGCTTCGAGGGAACTAATCAGGTAGACCATGGAACCCAAGGTAACCAGTAAATAATCTCATAACAACCAACGATTACATTCAGGACTGCAAGGAGGACGCAGTATTTTGGATTCCTGAGAGAAAGTTCTGAAAAAGGGAGAGGGGCGGGGTGTCTCCTATGAAATTACGAGTTATGCCTTTTTATACATTTCCATGTTGCCCAGATGAATTGCCTGGCCATGGAGGAAAGGAGATCTACTTTGCAGTGCTGTCGATATATGGTGCGGTCAAGCCCTCAGCGGTTAAGGTTAGGAGGCGCTTCACACAACCTGCCGCTGACAGCGCCTGCCTCATCGACCGTCATCGACCGCGCCTGCCTTGTCTCTAGCATGGTGAAGACGCTGCAGAAATGCTCGACGTGATGGACCAGCCGGCAGCCTGTGCATATCTGGGCTGGGCCATCCATGTTAAGAGTGACTGATTTAGTGCTTTACTGGATGTTCTAGAGGGGAGCTGAATAGCTTCATCAGCTAAGAGCATATATATATAGATACTTACACACTGGGATAATATATCGTCCATCTCATACCCTCCTGAACCTCTGTCCTAAAGCACCCTCCATCCCGGAGTACCCTCCATCTTGAAGCACCCTCCACCACCAATCCCCATTCCTGTGTGCAGGTCACTGGGGACATTTTTAATTGTTACACACTTGAAAAAGCAACAGTATTGATCTGGAACTTCTCAAGGAGGCACGAGCGGGCCATCGGTGAGTGTTTTGGGCAGTGTATCGGGACAAGGACCGACTGTACCTAGGTAGTCTCCACGAAATTGCTTGCCCTGTCGCCCCCTATTGCCCCGTCATTTCCTGTGGCCCACGGCGCCTGGAAATAGGTATAATGGCATCCTCTGGCGAGGCCAACCGGCTGCCTGAGCTGGTCCTCACTCTGATTTGACCGGTTGAAGCGGAATCTACCTGGCTGCATATGTGGCTGACAAAATGCAACGTTCTACATAAAGCTAGGTCTGAACCTCACAAGGCCAGATGGTGACCGTGACTGCCGTGGCTGCACACCTGAATTTCCGGACCGGCTTGGGATGGACGTCCCTACCGGGTTGCTAATTTAATCCCTGCTGTGTTCCAGTTTCAATTCAACGCAGGTTGAGGAAGGCATCAGGCTGTTCCAACCGCCATGACCTACCTATCTACTATATTTCCGTCAGTTCAGCATCCCACATTTACCTGTCTATTAATTACCTACTTACACCTATCCACCCATCAGGCATTCTCTACCTAATCTGACCATTTGTCGATTCGCCCTCTCATTTATATGTTTAATCAGTTCTCTCAACGCGGTTGCCTTTCAGCCTAACATGGCTCTCTCTTTTTCTGAGCGTGCGTTTAAGAATGTTAAACAAAAAATCGAAACAGGAGCTAGACATCTTCACTCGTCCCAATCAGTAACGGATGAAAAAAAAGAAGGGTTGAAGCAGCTGCCAAGCTGCTCGCGGGACTCGAACCAACAGAGCTGTCAAAAACGATGATCAGAACGCAAAAGCTGCTTCTCTATATTCTTAAGGTTGTGGAGCTCGAGCAGAAGGCCTCCAACTCGGCCTTGGCCGATGATAACACACTCGCCAGGGTTCAATCAGCTCTACTGTGTGGGATATGTCTCTCGCTCACCTCTGCGGCGAACCTAAGATTTTCTGATTACGAGAATTTGTATTGGTGGCTGGGAAAGGAGGGACCAAAGTTTCCTCAATTTGCTCTGCGGGCTCTCGATCATAACGTGATATCAGCATTCGCAGATACAGCTCAAGCCTTTCAACGCGTTGATGCTCCTATGCTGAACAACCCAGCCATTTCAACAGTGTGAGTTCTCCCCGTTTCCCTGGGGCATGCAAGCAACCCAATGTTGATATTTTTCTTGCCCTCATCCAGGCACCTTACTTCCAAAACTATTTTTACCCACAAGGCCAGGGCCAACCTAGGCCTCCGCCCCAGGGACGGTTCTTGCCACAAGTTGCAGAGACTCTACGGACAAAACGAAGCCTAGACAACACAAATCAACAGGCAGCACCATATAAGTCGGAGAACCCGAGCATCGGAAACAAAGATTCAGCCGCGGTGGGCATTAAGCGAAGGAGAGCTGACAAGGCCGAACCATCTTACATCAAGCTCCCTACACCCAGTAACTCAATGCCCGTGTTGATGGCCACCGAACAGAGGACACACGGAACTGCCCTTTCCGTGGCTGGAATGTGCGATTAGGCACACACACCGGACATACAGCGCAGAACCACGGAGCCCCACTAGTGTGGCGCGCTTGAACCGAGCACCCGCCAACCTGTACCATGCGGTAGCGGAAGAACTATTTGCCGATTCAGCACTCCAGAGCACGTTGAGTGGTGGGAACCGCCTCGGAAGTGATGTTAACAAAGATTCTCTGACCGCGCCATACTTGCCTAGGTACAATTGCACTTTTGCACCAGAAGATGGTTAGTAAGCTATATCAAATGTGGTGGTAGATACTAAACTAAGTATTATAGTCATCTTTGAATATTGAGGATCTCGACTCCTCTCTTGATTTTGATAACTCCCAGTCGGCTGGCAGATGGTTGTCGGGTCTGGTCAAAGGATTGCGTTTCGCAGGTGTTTCATCTTGGAGTACACAAGCGAAAATGTGAACGAGCCAAAAAAGAAATACAATACATGTGATGGTCAGGCTACTATCCCACAAGGAATTGAGGTGTATATTGGGGGTAAAGATGGCGTGCTGAAGGTGTTGTGATGCCTTCTTAATTGAAGAGCCTCTTCCTGAGTAGTGCGCCTTCCTTGAGGCGGAGAAGATTCCGTTCCTGTCTATTCATCATTTCCTCCTGACATCTTCGGGTTGCAACAACCCCATCGGCTATCTGCGCGCCAAAGAAAGGCCGTACTGTGGACAATAGACAACCATTGAGCAGGGGAGAAGGTTGCGGTATGTGATGTGATCCGTTGGGATTCAATAGAACCCGGTGGTTGTCTTCCGTCTTCATATATGCGCCAAAGATATTGCGAGCAATTTGGTCGACCTTTGTCCCTATTACTTCGATTCTCATTAGGCAATCCGTCTACTTGCTGCAGGGGAGTGTGATAGAGATGGCGGCACTATGAATACCCTTGCTGCTAGGCCGTTTGCGAATCGCGTTGGCTAGATAGAATGGGAACATCTCTATACACTCCACAATAGAAGCATCCACGAACATATGACCATCTCCTGAGAAGTATTCCGCAGCGCGCAGCATGCTTATCTGTGGCGGCTTGTTGGTGTAGGATGGGCTTGCGGAGGATAGGGCTTGTTATATTCGCGGAGATATTTGTAAGATTGTCGGACGTTTCTTGTTGATTCTCGGTTATCATAGAGCTCTCCCTGCTGCCTTCTGTCTGACGACGATTCCGCTGTAGGTGGGCTTGGTGGATCTCGAGGAGACGATCGACTCTCTCCCTCTCGTCAGACCCCAGTGCCGAATTCAGCTGCTCGGCGAGCGATCGACGAGACTCGAAGGAGCTGCGTTGTAGACGAGATATAAGTCGCTGACGTTTGCCCCTGCCAGTGACATGGCCAGTGGCGCTGGCGGCCCTCTTGGTAAGGGCATAGGCCGCCCAGGCTGTCCGTCCACCATAATCGAAGAAGATACGCTCCGTCTTCTCTTTCCGCATATGTTCAACCGCCTCCAAGTCGTTAACGAGCGTCCGGGGGAGCCTTTGGCGGGTCTTGATGCTTTCTAGGAGTATGCTGACGTCCTCTGGATCCCATGGCGTTGACATGGCGAGTGCTAGGGATACAGCCCCGAGTTGGTTTGCGAGGGCGACCCCTCATCAGTCCAACGTAGCCAAAGACAAGCGAGTCGCCAATAAATCAATGAAATTCGAATGACTTTGGCATTGTACATTGGCAACGCGACCAATGTTGCGTCTAGCGGGCCGCATTACCGGGAATGCCCGACTGCGGTAATGCATACGTAAGCCGACTTCGGGACGGGCACAAGCAATAAAAGCCCACGTGCGTACACCTCTCCTACATCCTTAGCCAATGCAGGCCTCTAACTTCCCTCAACCACCAAGCATTATGTCCGACCAAGAAGCCCTAACGCCCCGCGTATTCCTTGTGCGTCACGGTTAGTCAGTTCTTGTCGAATTAAGCCTGTAAGATTCATAACATTTTTGGTATACAGGAGAAACGGAATGGGCAAAATCAGGCCGCTTTACAGGCACAACCGAGATCGATCTTACTCCCACTGGCGTCAGACAGGTTTCCTCAATGGCAGCGAGGACTGTCGGCGCCGGCAAATTGCTCGAACCGTCCCGCCTTACTCACGTATTTGTCAGCCCGAGAAAGAGAGCTACAAGGACATTCGAACTGCTCATCTCCGATACTATTAAAGACCAGGACGTCACCTTTACGGACGATATTGCGGAGTGGAACTATGGCGACTATGAGGGCCTTAAAAGCAATGAGATTAGACAATTAAGAAAAGAGAGGGGCCTGGATACAGAAAGGGAGTGGTATATCTGGGCGGATGGGTGTGAAGGTGGAGAGTATGTCACCTTACCTTTACACCTGGCTGTTGCTAATGCTCAGTGGCAAAAAGATCTATGCAGCAAGTCACACAACGCCTCGACAGGCTTATCTCGCGGATTAGAGATATACAAAAGCCTTCGATGAAGGGGCAGAAACCAGCTGATGTGCTCGTGGTATGTTGTCCTTGAGTCCCACATTTATCACTAAGCTGAAAATGAATAGATTGCACATGGGCTCATCCTCCGTTGCTTTGTAAAGCGATGGCTTGGACTCGAGATTGACTCCAACCTGCAAATGATACTGTCCCCTGGAGGAATCGCAGTTCTGAGGTACGTAGAACTTTATAGGTTTGGGAAAACGACCATATGCTGATGTAACTCGTGGAAGCTACAAAAACAATGACATTAACAAGCCGGCCTTTCACATCGGCATAGCACTTCCGTAGACACACAGTATCTCTGGCAGGTTTCTGGGACGAAAGGAATTACTGCTATTTGCCGTGTTTCTCTAGCTAACAAGATTTCCAATCTCAAGTCACTGTCACTCCTGGTCTCATTGGGACACTGCAAGTCCCGTACCAACTGGCGAGCAACTCCAAGAACGCATGCGATGTGTCGTAATCCACTGGAGGCGCTAGTTCACTCGGGTCTAAAGACTGGGTCTTCAGGATCGATATTGTCTCATCATCTGCGTAGCAGGCTATTGTGTGTAATAACTGGGTGCCGTTGAGAAATCCAGTATACCTGCTTAGGAAAAGTCTCAGAATTGAGTGGGCATTGCATCTGATTGCTGTCATGAGTGGTGTGTACCCGTTGCTTGAGACCTCGTTGATGTTAGCGCCGCCGTCGAGTAGTATCTCGGCACACTTCAGACTCCCCATGCTCGCTACTGAATGCAATGCCGTCCGGCCTTCTGGATTGCTTGCGTTAATGTTGGCGCCGTGTTTAAGAAGTAGTTCGACCATCTCAGCTAAGCCACCAAAGCTGGCAGATGTCAGGGGGCTGCTGCGCTTAGAACCATTTGGTATCCAGGGGTCAGTTCTCCCTCCGGCTCGAAGAATGATGCGTAGGGCCTCAGAGCTGTGGCTGTCGACTGCATGGAGGATTATACTACGGCCATTGTGATCTATTACATTGCAATTGGAGCTATAAGCAATCAACACGTTCATATAGTTAAACTGGGCCAGGGCTATAGCCCAGTCCAGGGCAGTGCGGCCTTGGGCATCAATAGCATAAACCGCGCTGGGATTATGCTAGAGCTAATTATAAAGTTTCTTTATAACTTTAAAACCTAAAACAATCCTATAAATTAATAAAAAGCATTACTTTTCAACCTAATACCTTTACTTGGACCCTATAATATAGTGGAGGCCCTCCTACTTATTAATATTGCATTTTCTATAAAAAATAAAATTTTATATATATTTATATAACTTATTTAAATAAATTAAAATTAGTATTATTATAGCTTAGTATTTTTACTATATTTACTTATTATTTATATATGCTCTTTAAAAAATTAAAAACTAAATAGTTCTATATTATTATATTTTGCTATAAAAAGCCTACTAAAATTATTAGTATTATTAAATAAAATAAGTTAGGAAATATATATTTTTATTAAATTAAAACCTTAAAAAGAACTTTTATTAAATAAAAATGCTAAATTACGGCTAAATAATTATTTTAGGCCATTAATATCCCCTTTTATTGCAAATAGTACTAAATTAATAGTATTTATAACTCTCCTTAGTTATATAAGTTGGAATTATAGTGTAATAAAGGTATCCCACTAGGATAACCCTATGCTCTTAATATCAATTAGCAGCTCCATGGAAATATGCAACTGCGTGTTCTCTATTATTTGGGATAACTTCATATAAGAATTCAAGTTAGAACTTAAAACACTTAGCAGAGCGGCAAGAGTTGGATTTGGGGCAGGAAACAACGCGAAGTTAACGGGTGTGAATATATTTCTTAGAGTAATCCCAACCTAACTACTTCCATCTACCCACTTATTATTCTAGTCTAGCAGTTGGTGGTGGGTAGAGGTTTGTTTTAATATAATATTGGGTTGGATAATCTATAAAGAAATATCTTATATAGGCTATATAAAATCTTTTAAAATTAAATTTTTAAAAAATTGCGTTTTATATTATGGGGGTATAATATTTAGGGTGGTAGTACTTTTAATTTTTTTGCATTTATTATATAGGGGCAGGATTATAATAGGCTTATTTAGGCCTAATTTTTATGTAATAATGTCTTTATAAATATTTATTTCCTTTTTATTTGAAGGCTATGCTTTATATTTATAATATATAAAGGTGCTTACTATTATAAATAAATTATAGTAATTATTATATTTTTTATTTTAAAAGTAATTTAAATAAGTTTATTAATAGGAATAATTTAGGTATAAGCAGGCAAGACTTATAAATAAAGCAATACTTGTTGGCATTTTTCTACTTTATAAATATATAATTATAATATTATTTTAGGCATATTTACTTTTTTTTCTTTTAAGGGTTAGTATATAGGAAATTAATGCAAGATTTTAAAGGTGTGGGCTAGTTAAAAAGGTGCTATTATAATAAAGTAATTTAGCTTTATTTAAATAATTAGAAATATTTAAAGTTTTTAGTTATAATAAGAAACCCTAATTTGGTATAAATATAAGTGTTGTAAAAGCTTAGCCTTTAATGCGACAGCTTTAGAGTAGACCTGGCATTTGATGGGGTAGGTTGCTATTTTTAGGGCTGGTGTGGGTTTGGGAAGCTGTCAATATGCTGGTGGACTGGAGTTCCTAAAATAGCGGGGGTGATTTGCACTGTGGGGTTGTGCGGTAATTTGTATTTTCGAGCATGGCGCTTAAATTCTAGTTTTGCTGGACGACCTTATTAAATTCTTAGGCAGGTTTTGCTAACTAAGCTCCAGCCACTAGTTGCCCAATATCAGGAGCATAACCGTGGCTATAATATAGTAGCCATAAATATTATTAATAAGAACTAATAATATGCTGTGTTGTATTTAATAGTGCATGTGGGCTTGAGTTATTTAACTTGCACCTCTAATAAGGGGCGGGTGCCAGGCTTTCTGGTACTAGGGTTACTTAGAGCACCCTGCCAACTAGGAACCCCTTCCCTTAACTAGCTTAAGTTACAATTTTCAGCGGGCGGCTACTACGAAAGGGGAGGATGAGTATCCACTAATATCCCGGATAGTGGTGTTCCTGCTAGCTACTTCCTAGGTATTTAAGGCATCCCTAACTTTTGCCACCCTATACTAAACACCTTGCTCCTTATATCTACTCTTTACGCCCTTTCTCTATTATCCTTGACCTTTTTTTTTAAATAACAGTTTTACTTTAATTTAAAATAAACTTTAAACCTTAATTATATAGCTATAAGCTATTTACTTTACATAAAGTTAATTATAATAATACTATTGTAATTAAAATAAAAATTAAGGTATATATAAGTAATAAGCGCGGCTGAGTATAGTTATTAACTGTACTATAAGGTGTAATGCAATATAAGGCGTATAGGTAGCCTAGGACAAGGTTAATGATATCCTTGCGTCGTATGGCCCAGTTGGCATCTGCTCATCCCCGATACTATTAAAGATCAGGATCTGTTTAACGACCCGGAACTCAGCGACTACGGGAGGAAGCCGCACGGGCGGACACGGGATACCAAGAGGTGCACCAGACAGTCCAAAGACGGGACCGAGAGATTAGCTCAGGCCATCAAATACGCGTTCAAACACGTGGATAACGAAAGGCTCATAAGGCACAGGGAGAAGCTCTGGATCAGGGGCTCCAATCACTCGGGAAGATGAGTATGGAGGAGAGAACCCCAAGACCTGAAGCCCACGCCCTTCGCACGACAGCGCCTCGATATACCTATTCCCGAACCTAGATTTCTGTATATTCCATACTCGTAGGAACATATTCTGTACACTTCTCCTGCCAGCGTCTGATGATGCAATTTGAACACCCCTTCCCAGCCCGTGGTTCAAATACACACCCGTGGAATGGCCCTCTCCATTTTGCACATGGAGGACAAGCCTTTTTGCTAGCCATTCCCCTACTATGACAGAGAATCGCCCATGCAGCCTCAGGTTCTGCTTGACGTAATCGTGGTATGATCAATTCGAGCGCTGACCACGGGCTGGCGATCATACGGAGGCTATTGCTTCTGTAAACAGCGGCCTGGTCCCCAGAAGTAATCCAACTGGGCAAACTCTGATCCCGTCGTCGTTCTACAATAAACGTAAAGAGATGATCACGGAAGTTCAAGGCGGGTCGGACCTGAGATGGTGATACCAATAAGAGATCATCGGATATATGGTACTCCTCTCTATTCTAAGGAGTATTAGTATAGGCAGGCAGTAGAGGAAAATTGAACTTACAGTTTTAGGTTCGGTTTGCTCAACCGCAAACCCATCATTTTCATACGGATTCTCTCGAATCGTAATCGTGAGTGGTTTCTTTGAGTGCTCATTGTACGCGTGTGGTAGTTCGATAGTCCATAACGTGGAGTATCCATTATAGGGGTAGGCATTGACTGTAACTGGCGGCATTGTTACAGGATAGTAAAGAAGCGATGTAGCGGGCCACTCGTACTTGGCGTTTAATCCAGAAAAAGCCACTCGAATTGTCGTCTCGTTAGGTCCAGAACTGCCCTGTGTGCTGCAACCATCAGCTGGATTCCAGTGCCACGAATCATATGGATCCCGTTGTTGTAGTCACAACCACAATGTTCGCCTTCTTGAAAGTACCTACAGGGCTTCTGGTGTTCCCCGGTACCTCGGTATATGAGAAGGAGGCGAATTGGGTGGCCTGCATCGCCGTCGTAGAGATATTGGGCACCCTTGCCAATAATCACACTACCTTCAGAATTCGACCGGCCTTCCAGCCATTCATGCCCGATGAACTTAAATATCCTGTGCCAAGCACGCGCATGCAAAAAACTCTCTCGGCTAAGACGATACTCGCGATACGAGGCAAGCCGCTGGAGGGGACGACAGAAGTGCACGATATTGACTGTTAATTCAGCCGGTAGTCCGGATATAACTTCTTCAAGCGCTCTCTCATGGGTGGGTACCTCAGACATAGCTGAGACCATTCACCTGGGAAGCAGTTTTGCCGTAGAATAGGGATATCTCTAGGGAAGAATCGCGGCCAAACGTCGTCTAGCCCTACATATTAAATAATATAGCACCAAGAAACGAATTCCGGGCAAGGCAGGTTTCCCAAAAACAAGAAACTGTCAATCAGATGTCCGCCATACAAAGTGGTCTTAATCGATGGAGTGAAGATAGGAGCCAGAACCACCCAAGACCCAGTGAATTGTGCAGCTGAGTTGGTCGTGATGCCCCACTTGGCCGTATGGCTGGACCTTGGCATGCAACGTGCTCCTCCTTGTCTTGGCACAACTGAACATCGTGGCTGCGCTTCCAAATACTGTCCGGATGAAAATAATTCCAGGTAATTCCTTAACCCGTGTGACGCGACCTGGCTCTCGACTCCGACAAATTTTCACCTGTCTTAATTGTACCCAGAGTACGGTAGCTCTTAATCTATTATGCTGATCATAAAATCTGTGGACACCCTACAAAATGCAGACCTGTATAAGGTCCTTAGCGACATGCGGAAATTGACTGATCAGATTTCTTATTTCCGCGAAGATATGTTTCTGGCAGGTCAATCTACTACGACTACCCGTCTCTCTTCTGCCCAATTACGCAGAGGAACCCAATAACATCCTTTATGATAATGAGAAT